CCCCAAAACCCCAAAACCCCAAAACCCCAAAACCCCATTATTCTAAAGACTTATTGAAATTATTGTATTTCTCAATGACTCTTAAATCTACTTTTGAAGCACGTTCCTGGCAGCTGCATATCTGAAAGTGGTTCTAGCCTGGTTCATCGAATGCTTCTCAGGTGAATACGCTCCGCTTATTGGGTTGTAAGACTGGTACAAGTGGTGGTTGTTGAAGTTTATGTTCTTAGGGCCTCCCTGGCTCAGAGATTTTGTAGGAGCTGTCCCTGAGAAGGTCCTAGCGTGTGAAACTTGTGGTCCAGGGCCATGGCTAGAGTGAGTCTTGGGTCCTGCATGGCCAGTAATGTCGTCCATCGAAGACCGGTGAGCATTCGGACCAGCCAAGCCCGGGTTCTTCACCAGCGTTACGTCTCTGGTGAGTCCGAACTTGTTGAGTCTTTCGTCTTCTTCGTGGGCTCTGAAGTTGGCGTCGCTCTTCTTATCATCGCGAACCTTCTGGCTCAGGTGAGTGGCTGCCGAGTTCAAGCCAGGGATCATGGCATAGGTGTGGTTGTCGTAGTTATTTGAAAGCAGCGAGGTCGTTCTTGTTGAGTCGTTTCTCGATGCCAGTCATGTTTCCATACATTTTCATGGTGTCTTTGGTTCTCTTCTGATTGTCTAACATTTCTTTGTAGATTTTCTGCCTTTCTTTCTTTTCATTTAGATCCATGTTCTTCAGATTATTATAATCTCTTTCAATTGATCTAGTGTGATATTCATCAGCTCTATATTCTGCAAATCTTGCTTGCCCTTCTTCATTCTTTGTCTTCATCTGTTTTTCTTGCCCCATTCTAGTATTCATTGCCCAGTCTTTCCTCATTTTGTTCTGCATCTCAGCTTCATGATCGAGTTTTCTTTTTCTCTCTTCTTCTTGCTTCCTTAGATTCCTCCTAAATTCCATATCTTTCTCCATCTGAGGACCAGATACAGTTTGGTGGTAAGATTGGGAAATTTTATTTTGGAAATCATTGAATTGGTTATATTTACTCAGCTTAGCCAAGTCTCTTTCCTGATTCCTTCTCTCTATCTCCTCAAGATGTCTCTTATCCTCAAGAGTTCTAGCGTAATTGTTCTTCTCGCTCTGTCCAATTTCTCCATCGTGCATGTTTTTGGCATTATTAAGAATTTCCTTTACCATCTTCCTCTTATTCATTTCTGTTTGGTTTAAAAAGTCTAGTTCTTTAGATGCCTTATCATTAGCTAGTTGGCCATTTCTGAGATCGCTCATTCTCTCATATTGCTTCTGTTGCTCCTTCATCTTTATCATATTTTCATAATCCTTTGAAAGCATGCTCTGCATCTGCTTCTTCCTGTCAAGAGTAGCAGCATTGATATTGTCAAGTTCTGCTTTCTTCTGGAGAGCTATCTCCATTTCCTTTCTTTTCTCAGCCTCTTCAGTGTTCTTATTAGTCTTGGTCTTGTAGTATACCTCTGATTCAAGCTCTTGACCATAATTCTTCATAAAATTCTTATTTCTGTCTCTCTTGATCTTCTTGCATACGCTTGAAAGCTTCGCTCTGATTCTTGATTACAGCTCCCCATTCGTCGTACTTCACTATTTAAGAGGTTATTTCAGTTCTTGGCAGACTTTCAGAGAGTTAAGATTTACAGAAAACTGATGAATTATTCGAAACCACCCAATACTGACAACACTAGCTCGATACTGCAATAGCCAGTAACTCCTTAGGGTGCACAAAACGCTTGGGGATCCCGCACATCTGTAGCAAAAGATTCAGGGTAGTTGAATCTACTCTACTTTTCTAAGCCAGCCACAACAAACCTAAGCCTTGATTTGGGACAAATTTATCATTAAGTGAGAATAAAATATAACTTTAACAAACTCATATCAAAACTTCTCAAATCTAGTTACCTTTTGAGTCTTCTGGGTAATATCTCTTGCCTCCACTATATCCATACTTCTCTTTAATTTTATGCTCCTTCTCTTCCAAAGGTTTCTTTACTCCATAAGTATGGACTCTGAGGGGGTCGACCTATTGACAAGAGTAAGTTCCACTCTTTTCAAAATAACTGATGAAGATTTAGTGGGAGGAATGGAATAATTAAGATAAAAAGTAAATCATAAAGAAGTATCCTATTAACAGCAGTCGACAATTTTCATTGCTTCCATGCAGTTAAGATCCAGGCTTAGTGTGCCCTTGAGCACATCTGTAGCCTTTGTAACTATTAAGAATCTAAAAGGCCCGTTGCAGTCCTTCTTTAGCTTATGTTATTCAGAGCAACACCCAGTAGTTGCGGGAGCTTCCTCCAGTCCAAACTTGAATTTATAAGATCTTCAGAAGATTCGAAATGGGCTTACCAATTGATCTGACATATTGTATTTTATTTTATAATTTTATTGCCAATATCAGCTTATAAATATGGGGTTTTGGGGTTTTGGGGTTTTGGGGTTTTGGGGTTTTGGGGTTTTGGGG